GGATTTTACTTTCTTAAGAGCAAAATCGTAACATGTATGGGTTTATTTATATTTTTCAGGAAAGATAGGTAGTTAAAAGATTTTTAAAGACAACTGCATTTTCAAGAATAATGAAATATAGGACAAAGTGCTTCTCAAATATTCAGATTATTTCCTTAAATGGAAAACAAATCTCTAGTCCAGTTCCATAAACTCCATAACTCATTTTTAAGATTTGGATTCCTGAAACTGCTGGAATGCTGAAGTTCATAAAATCTTCAAATCTCACAGCCAAGCAGCACTTTAACCAACCTTATCTCCAGCAATCAGGACTGTTCTCTTTGTAAAAAGTTCAAGAGTAAATAAAAGCCAAATATGTTTTCTTGACCACAGCTAAGACAGAAATATTTAGCTATACATATTAACTCTGGTTAGAGACATATGTGCATACAGACCTTACATACATGCAGAGCAGTTCAGAAGGTTTACAGCCCTCTGTTTTATATTAGAATCTTGCCAGTCACAAGAAGAATTTCTTCAGGTCACGAGGACCAGAAGAAACGAGTTAGTATCCCGAAACTCATCAAAAAGATGTGCCTCTTCCAAAGTCTTTCTCCATACCCAAAACATTTCTGTGACAACTAGTAGCAGCTACACAGTGTCATGCTGAGGTATGGGTGCCACTTCACAGTGAATTCTGTTAATGATGCCTGTTACTTTGTTGGACTGATGATATCAGCAAATGATGAGATTTCTTTTGCCCAAGGGGGTTAGAAAATATCTATTCCATTGAACTTTAATAAAAGCCAGATCTGTCAAAGGGCAAGTCCTTGGGGCAGAGAGACTGGATGACAATAACATCCAGTGTCAGCTTACTGGGACAAGGATATGACCTAACTCCAAATCAGTAGAGAGCAGGTGGCTAGATCAAATTCTACCCCATTATCAATTCACTGGAAATATGCTCCATAAAAACTCCTCCTCCAAGAGTACATTATATAAAATCTATTAACAAATACTGATCAGATTGACAACGCAGCTGCTTTGATAACCATTTAGATAACGTCCTTCAGTCCTGCCCTTAGGAATCCCAACATCTTCAATGTCCAAAATGAAACCCCATCTACCTCTTCAGTTGGCCCGTTCACAAGACGACTTACTGAACTCATACACAATAATAATTGTGCAAGTGGGAGCATTTCAAGTGATCTATGCCTCCTTTAAATATGCTTCCAGAGCAGACTATATTTCTGTATTGCTTTGTGATACAAGATTAGACAGTGGATTAAAAAAAACCAACAAAACAAAACTCAAATAACTGCCACCAAGAAGCTACAATGCTGATTGACATTCTGTCCTATCATTTTCCACACTTACCTTCATCTTCTTGTACTTTCAAGCAAATATATTTCTCCAGGCTCACAAACATACTATCAGGAATCACAGACCTTCAGTGCAGCCCTGCTGGCAGCCCTTCTCAAATTAAGGGCTCCTCCCTACACAACCAGCTCCCTCAAATCTGTATCTTCCACTTCTTCTTAACACCAAACTCTACAGGAAACATATTGATAATACATATTTTGTATCTACAAAAAAGTCATAGCTAAGTTTAAATCTTGCTGCAGGCTAATACTACTATCAATAATATTTTTGTCAGCAATAGTATAATCCAGTGATTGATACATATTTTACAAATTTTAAATCAAAATCACCTGGATCTCTGCTGTATTACAAGCTACAAGCTCAGATATTCAAGTAAGTAACTATTAAGTTAGGATTTATAACACACACCAGTTGATTCATTAACTCTTAGTTGATAGCCACCACAAGGTAATGAGAACTGGCTTAGTCCGCTTCCACTGTCAGTAATAGGCATTTTTTTATTTAGCAAAGACTAAACCAGCTCAAGCCCTCTGTCCTATCGGTTAAGATCATGGACAGAAACACCTACCACAGATCAGCAGAGAAGCAATAGTTTACTGCTTCATACTAATCTGCTTGAATGTTTCGGGCTGCACTCTGACATTCACTTATCTTTGCATCTGTTTCCTCATTAATAAATTAAACATAATCACCTTTCTTCTTGTCAGTTGATTGTTCTCAGTATGCACAAGGGCTCATTATTATTGTTATATGTAAAGTTGAATTACTACGCATATTAGCGTTTACTAGTCAACTGTTTCACAGTATTAAAACCAAAAGTTGTAAATTCTGGTCAAACTTGTAAAACATGAAAGTAACTTAAAAATAATATAGCTAAATCATTCTTTCACAATTCAATGAAAACTGGTCTATTACGACACAAAAATTTCCCACTCAACTTTTTGAGAACAGAAGTAAGCTGTCTGATGACACAGCAGTGTATACCGATAAATTCAAGAAAATTACTATTTTTATCTCATAATTTAATATTTTACTTATTCACAATTTTGGTATTCCTCAGAAAGACATAATTAAATGTTTCTGAGCTCCTGTCTTTCCACTCCAAGAAACACACCACCTGTGCTATAAGGATTTAAGAGGAAGAATTCATCATGAAAAAGTCACAAAGAGCTAACAAGGTACTTGCAACTGCAGCACCCTGCAGCTCAAACAGGGGAGTTCCCTGCTGTCTTTATTACTTGATGCAGACTGATTTTACTATTCTAATTTCATATAATTTTTGTCTACATTTAACTATAGGAGACTACTTTATCAAAAATAAATTAAGAACCCAGTATGATTAGACCATGTCAGACACAGCTCTGTATTTGACTACAATCTTTGTGGCATGCTACTTCTTGCCTGTACAGATTTTCAAGGTGCAAAGTGCAATTATGAGAAATGAATGCATATTACATAAGAAAAAAATATCTCAGTGTAACATCCGTGCAAATGCTTAACCTCTCCATGACATTCTGACTGTTTTTTTGAAAAAGTGACTACTGTGACTCCATAATAGTTTACAAGTAGCACAAATGGCTGGCCTCTAGTACCACAACTGACTAGTGATGGTAGTAGCCAAACTGCTCTTACAGATCAACTCTCATTAGTATCACCTGAAAATATGTTTGCAATACTTTATATACATATTGTTATGTTAAAAAATGATCATGTCTTCTGAAATTGTACCATGTTTCTACATTGTGTCTTAGAAAATGCTAGGCACTATCAAGTGTGAACTTCTGCCTGAAATCATGTTCTTTATTATCTTACAAGTCAAAATTTCACTGATGATTAGTTCTGCTTTCTGTTAGCAGAAATTAGTGACTTTGCCAAGAATTCAATGACTTTTGTTCTTTTAATTTAGCACGTACATGAGTATAGATATAGCTTAGAGGCTTGTCATGTTTTAATCAAATGATGTCCATCAATCCCTTCCAACAAAAAACACTGCATGTTTCTATGCTAGCCAATGGTGATAGAAGAGGAAAAAGTTAACTGAATGTACCAGACTGTAAAAGGCCAAGAGTTGATCGACTCTTCCAGTAGGGGGAGATGTTCTTTTAAAGTTTACCGGCAATTATAAAGTGCTAACTGATTTACCCCTGTATCTTTTTAAGAAAATCAATCTCATAACAGAAATCCATGCCTTAGTGGCAATATGCTCCAAAACACAGTTGTATGAAAATCAGGAAAAAAAAAAAAAATCACAGAAAACAGCTGTAACAGAAAAACATACTGATGATGGAGAAAGCTATGCTGACAGCCATCAAAACCAAAAAGGCCCTATTCCTTTTCAAAACCAAAGTCTCTCCAACAGCAATGTTTTTTCACTCACACAATAGATATAATTTTTAGATGTCAAAGATGCCATAAATACCCCAGAGGAAGAAGGAAAAAATGATTAAATTTTTGCATTTAACAATACTAATTAAATATTTAAAAATACAAAATAAACTATGTTGCCTGAATTGCTCCCTGTGTCTCAGAACAAAATCTGAGCTGTGTTTTCCTCCTTATTTCCAAATTACTTTTAAAACTTTAATGCCAGAAGTAATTCTGTCCCAATACTCTCTTCCTTAAACGGTTTTCTTTCACAAACCTTCTTTGAAAATCAGGGGCGTTCCTGAGCAGTGCAGGCTACCATCCATTTTCTATGAATGAAACTCACTGTCCATTGTGTTACATTTCACCATTCTTCCGTATGTGCCACTGCAATTGTGGATGATGTCATAAATCAGATCTATGAAACTTTTACTATTTTTCCTACTCAGATACGAGTAAAAATAGAATATTCTCAGTCTTCCTCCAAAAATTATTTTCTGATTAAGGTAATCTCTATGATCCCTCTCAATAAAACAGCACTTGCATTAGTACAGCTGAATGTCCAGTAAACTAGGAACATGTCTAGGGGACCACCTTAATCTGACTTTGTCACCAAAGAAATAGCTGTGAAACTACACCATAGGGGATTTTTAAAGCAACCATGGTGAGAGTAGAAATTCCATTTATTAGAAAAGGCTGTTACTTATCGCTGGTATATTTAGATGTCTGTATGTCTAAGTCATTCCTGAAGAATCCTTTTACAGTCTGTAGGAAAATCAGAACCCAAATAGGTAGAATCTGGGACTTTAAATGCAAGTTTGCAAACAAACTGAGATGAATACAGGATGACAGGTGCCTATGTCAACTAGATGAACAATTCAGATACAGGTATGACAATAGAGAGATATAAATTTGATGAGCTGATACTTCCCTACTCTGTCTAAATAGAGCTAAGTTAAATAAAGCCTCTTCTGCAACACTTTTGATTGGTACAGTCAGAACAATAACATTATTTTCCCCATTTTAGGCACAGGAAAACAAGGTACTAGTAAGTACACTAAAGTCAGTCAGCAGCTTTTGCATGAATTTGGGACAAAAATGCCTGTCTGGATTTCTAGCTGCTAGGCTGGCTAATCATCATTGCTGTATCCATTTCCCACCTCTAAAATTGCCTGTCAGAAAAACATCCCACTTCATACCTTCAAATGTTTTGGACACCACCACTTTGAAAATGGATGTTGATTTTACTTTCACAGTGCTGAGAGGAGACTCACCTGCAAGTATAACTCCAAGCCTTGCCGTCGCTGCTCCAGGACTTTGGGGACCCAGTTTCTCACATGCTTTGAAGGCATCTCTGGAGTTCTCATGAATTTTTTGAGCTGCAAATGAAAAGAAATGCAGACAAGAAAGAAAGTATAAGAGTAAACAAAAGATTTCTGCTAGAGATGAAGCAGAACAGGTAAAATAATAATGCATAAAGTACAACAGCACAGCAATGAAAGTACTCACCATCAGCTCACTGAAGTAACAGAAGACTTCATACCTACATGTTGCCATGACAAATCTCCATGCTGCCCTGGATGGTGAAGGGGAGCCCTACTAACAGTTTGGTGTGACTAACTGCATTAAAACAACAGCTACATGAGAATACTTGAAATGAACTCCCCATTAGTCAACCGGGGATGATACCTCACAATGTCACTGCGGCATACCTAGGTATTACTTTGCTAAGTCCACTGACAAAAAATGGTGACAATATGAAACTCTGGATTTAGGGAACGATGAACAGGTGGAAGAAGTACAGACAGGAGAGCTAACCATTTCTTTGGAGAGCTGGCAATCAAGAGAGAAAAATATCCATGTTCTCAAATTGCACCAACAGATCGACAGTTGTGTTTAATATCTTATACTGAGAAATAGAAAGATTGCCACTGAATGTATTTCCAGTAATTCTCCATAATTATTCCTCTAAAGATTTGCATAGGAAAGTTTTATAGATACATACAGAAACGTGTCTATGAATACAGATGGACACAAACATGCATTCTGAGAACACTAAGAATCCGCTTGCTGGAGCAACATATTTTTTCGAAACACAAAAATATTAATGTTTTTCTTAAAACTACAGCTCAAAAATGATAACTGAAATAGACTTCATTGCATTTTAATAGAAGGTGACATTAGACATTCTTTCTGTTGGATATTGCCTGAGTAAATCTGAGGCAAAGAATGCATGGAAAGAAACTAAAAATTGACTTTGACATGCATGCCCATGGGAGACTGAGAATTTACATTTCATTTTTGAGCTTGCTGAGATGTCACTATAGGAAAAAGCAGTGCCAACATATCAATGTCTCTACAATCACAAGTAACAAAGCTACTGCAAGGAAACCTCAATTGCTCTGGAAACATTTTGCCACTTGCTTATTTCTTAACAGTGCTAAATTACAATTAAACATGAAGTGAGAAAACAACCCACCAAAGCAAAACCCCAAATCCATGTACTTTTACTGCCTGATCTTAAAGCCAGAAAATGAACCCCATTTTTTCATCTAATTTGGTTGAGAATGTTGAAGAAACTATGGTCACAGCTGTTGCGAACTATGACAGCACCTGCACGGGAGTAACAAATAAGCAGAACGCTCCAGATAAGAGGAGACAAATCTGAAACAAAACAAGTGTCCACCAAAGCCTAGCTGCTTTCAGGGTAAATGGTCTGTGGCTGGTGCCACCAGATGATGATTAACAATCATTTTGTGCTCTGTGGTCCTCTGACATAAAGCATCCAAGCCCCATTTGCATAAATATGCAAGTACAGGTACTATGTATAGGTATAAAGTATGGGTTCTACAGATGTAGAAGTAAATAAGCCCCCTTTCTTATGCTTGAAATAATATATTGCAACAAATAATTACTACAATGTCAAAGAATATTAAGCAACTCTATGTATGCGTTAGCTGTATTTCTTTAGACCTGTGCCTACAAAAAAACCCATGAAGATGATCAGGGGACTGGAGCACCTCCCGTTATGAAGACAGGCTGAGGAAGTTGGGGCTGTTCAGCCTGGAGAAGAGAAGGCTGCATGGAGACCTCATAGCAGCCTTCCAGTATCTGAAGGGGGCCTGCAGGGATGCTGGAGAGGGACTCTTCACTAGGGCCTGTAGTGATAGGACAAGGGGTAATGGGTTAAAAATTAAACAGCGGAAGTTTAGATTGGATTTAAGGAAGAAGTTCTTTACTGTTAGGGTGGTGAGGCACTGGAATGGGTTGCCAAGGGAAGCTGTGAATGCTCAATCCCTGGCAGGGTTCAAGGCCAGGTTGGACGAGTCCTTGGGTGACATGGTTTAGTGTAAGGTATCCCTGCCCATGGCAGGGGGGTTGGAACTAGATGATCTTAAGGTCCTTTCCAACCCTAACTATTCTATGATTCTGTGATTCTATGAAATCTTCATACTGTGTTATACATTAGGTCCGTAACACTGACCTAATGCCTATTTGACATACTGTAGTCTCTGTTTCCTGCAAGACTAAACGATGGCACAAATTACCAAGTAAAGAATTATCTGTCCAGCTGTGAAGTCAATATGATTTATAATGTACACTAATTATTCTAAAATTATAAGTAACTTGCAAGACAGGATACAAAGAGCTTAAGATTTTCAGAGATTTCACTGACATGAAATCTGCAGCTGTAATGCTGTCACCTTCTAGCATTCTGGTGCTTAAAAAGAACTACCAATATTAAAAAATGTAAAGGAAGAAGAGTATAAAAAATAATTAAGCAATAAATGGTTGTATTTTTAACTATTCTATACATATAGAAAGAATTTAATTCTTTCTAAAAAGCTCTCCATAAGAGAATACTAAAACTTTTGATCAGACTTCAATATAATATTGTAATGTGAATGGTGCACAGGTTGAAAGGCCCAGTTTGCCTTTCATAACCAGTGCAAAGCGTAAAAGTCTATGCAAAACTATTTCAAAAAAACAACAGCAGTGGATAGTCAAGGAAAGAATCTGTAGTCCTGGTGTAGTCTTGGAAAGATTTTAAACCTTTTCCACTACAGCCAGATAGCAGAAGAAGCGGGGCTTTATTTTTTTTTACACAACTGGAATGTAAAGAATGTTGAACCCAGGAAGGAGAAATATTCACCTGTGTTCTTGGAAATGGCTTTGTTTTAAAAAAAATAAAAATAAAAATAAAAACTTTAATTGGCATTCCGATGAATAAGTAATCTCTTAAATGAGCATTGGAGTCCTCCTTCCTTAAAACAATGCCAGATGAGCACGTCCTTCCCTGGCGAAAGGTAAAATCTCCCCTTCAGCCTTTATTCCCATTTGCTATCATGGCTGTTCTCTACGGAAGCTTTGTTTCTCCAGCTCACTACAGGTATCTCCAGCACTAAGGATATCTTGAACATGCAGCAAGTCCAAAGATACCTTTCCAACTACCATGTACTCACAGCAGTTTGGAGTGAAACTTACATTTTAAATTAATAAGACAGGAACAAAAAATAAATACTTTATTAGCATGCTGAAAACAAACTGGTATTTGGACCTGATTATAAATAGTGTCATGAGATGTGAACAAATTGTTCACAAAGAACAATCTAGATACAAGTGCAAAATATTCTTCTCCAATAAAAACTGTTCAAATACACACCTTACTTTTTTAAGAGCATTGAGATTTTCTGCTCTAACACAAAACAGAGAAGGGTGAAATCACATACTGTATTAATACAACATGCTTTTTCCAGTATTTCTGTAACACTGAAAGCACTAAAAAAGGTTCAGAGCATGAGCTGTTCAAATATGTTTACTGAAATTTTACTCCAGCTTCACACAGTAAGACTTAAGAAAAGAGGTATATTGTTGCAAAATACACTGGGTGCTTTGCCCGGGACAAGGAACAAATAAAGAAAAGTCACTATCAAGTTTGCAGAGTAATATAAACAGACAACAAGCAGATGAAGAGTAAGATGGAACAAACTGAAGAGCGGTGCAAAGTGTCTAGTTAGAATAACTGGTTTTCAAGTTTGTTTATTTTGCTGTTTATTTTGCTGCTGTTTCTGGAGATAAAGTGAACATCATTTATGTTTTTTTCTAGTGTTTTAAGGAGAAATCCGCAAAGGAAGCTACTGCAATGGAATCAGGGTACAAGGAGACAAATCTGAGAGTGAGACTGCAATCATTTGTGACTTCCATGTGGAGTAACTGCGCAACTCCAGAAATTACAGTGAAATGAGACTTCAAAGGGAAGAAGAAAAAGAAAAAGCAGAAGCATTCAATACCTTTTTTTTTTTTTTTTTTTTTTTTTGCCTCAGTCTTTATGAATACTGACAGACCTTGGGCTGCCCAGTCCCTGGAGTTGGAAGACCACAAGCATGGGAAGAGTGACTTTCCATTTGTGAATGCTGAAATTATAAGGGACCAGCTGTAGCAGCTGAATGCTCACAAGTCCCTGCGGCCTGATGGACCAGGATGCTCCAAGCCCCATCCAGCCTGGCCTTGAACACTGCCAGGGATGGGGCAGCCACAGCTTCCCTGAGCAACCTGTGCCAGTGTCTCACCACCCTCACAGGGAAGAATTTCTTCCTAATGTCTAATTTAACTTTCCCCTCTGTCAGCTTAAAGCCATTCCCCCTTTTCCTGTCACTACATGCTCTTGTAAAAAGTCCTCCTTCTTGCAGGCCCCCTTAAGGTACTGGAAGGCTCCTATAAGGTCTCCCCAGAGTCTTTTCTTCAGGCTGAACGAGCCCAACTCTGATAAGGTCATCGACCTGGCAGATGAAAGGAAGGCAGTCTATGTAGCTTTTCTGGTATTAGTTAGGTTTTTGATACTGTCCCCTCACAGCATCCTTCTGGACAAGTTGTCTAGCTGTGAAATGAGCAGGTTTACAATATATTGGGTGAAGAACCAGCTGAAGTGAAGAGCTCAAAGATTTGTACCAAATGGGGCTACATCTGGCTGACAGCTGATCACCAGCAGTGTTCTCCAGGGCTCAATTCTGGGAACAGTTCTCTTCAGTATTTTTATCAATGATCTGGATGCAGGATTGGAATTCACCATTAGCAAGTTTGCTGATGATGGCAAACTGGGAGGTGCTGTTGACTCTCGAGGGACAACAGGTCTTACAGTGGGATCTAGTCAAATTTGAGTCCTCAGCAATGATTCATGGGATGAAATTTAACAAGTCTGAATGCCAGAATCTGCACCTGGAATGGAGTAATAACGGGTACAAGTATAAACTGGGAGAGGAGCAGTTGTGGAGCAGCCTTGCAGGAAGGGATCTGGGGAGCTGGTTGACAGCAGCTCAGTGTCAGTCAGCAGTGTGCCCTGACAGCCAAGAGGGCAAACCCCATTCTGGAGCGCATCACACACAGCACGGCCAACTCATCAAAATAGGTGATTATCCTGCTGTATTCACAGAATCACAGAATGTTTGGGTTGGAAGAGACTTTAAAGCTCATCCAGTTCCACCCCCCTGCCATGTGCAGGGCCACCTTCCACTAGACCAGGTTGCTCAAGGCGTTGTCCAACCTGGCCTTGAAAACTAGATCATGTCTTATCACTCACAGTAATACAAGAAAGAAATGCTTTTTCCATGTGGGGAGATTGACAAACTTATTTAAGACTTTTTAAATGCTTTAACATTTAACATGTGCTATACAAACACAAACACTCCTTGTTTCTCACCTTGTGCTTTATAGCTCATCGTTTATAATTTACACTGCCTGCCATCATAAAGTGTGTGGGGGGGAGAAATACTCCATTCCAGTTCCAATTGCTCCTGCAATTTTAATTCCCCAATTTTATTTTTTACATAAAAATATGTAAAAAAATATATGAAGTTTTATTTTTAGACATTTTCATTGTGAAGGGTAAACTTATGGAGCCACACAATATATCCAGTCTCCTTGTTCATCCTTCAATAACTTTTTAATCCAATAGCCAAGTTCTGATTCAGTGATGGTGCAGCCTCACCTTGAGTAATGTGTGCAGCTCTTTCCCCACAGCTGAAGGATGTGGTCCTTGAATGCGTCCAGAGAAAGGCAACAAAACTGGTGAAGGGGATGGAAGGCATGTCCTGTGAGGAGTGGCTGGGGGCTCTGGGCTTGTTTGGAGACAAGGAGGCTAAGGGGCAACCTCACTGCTCTCCACAGCTTCCTGAGGAGGGAAGTGGAGAGGGAGGTGCTGAGCTCTGACCCCTAGTACCCAGTGCCAGGACATGTGGGGATGGCTCAAAGCTGCGTTGGGGAAGGTTCAGACTGGACATTAGGCAGCACTTCTTTAATGAGAGGGTGGTGAAACAGAGGAACAGGCTTCCTGGAGAGGTAGTTGATATATCAGTGTATCAGTGTTTTAGACTGATTTGGACTCATACGCCCTTTATAACATGTGTTAACTTTTGGTCAGCCCTGAAGGGGTCAGACAGTTGGACTATATGATCCTTGTAGGTCCCTGGCAACTGAAAACATTCTATTCTAATCATGGGCAGGGTGCATTTTAAGCATATAAATCCTGATTTTCCTCTCAAAATGCTTCCTAACTTAGTTGTATAATCTCTGCTCACCGGCTTCACTTTCAATTGCAGCATTAGTCTCAAATGTAAAATAAAGCACACGTGTATTGCAAGGCTTGCGGGTGGGCAAGCTGTACCACTGATTTTGACACTGTTGCTCGTGAGGTATCATATTCAATGTAAATACAAGGGGAAAACATCTGAGACACATCTGAATTAAAACAATAAACAAGGAAATATTAAAAAGTGGCAGCTGATACATTAACCGGGCCAAGAAGCAAAAAGACAAGAAATACTTGCACATCTTAATTACAGTTCAGATAAGCAAAATATACCTTTGGACTTTTGAGGGCCACCAAACTGATGGTTTAATAGTTGCCTTTTGTTGACATGAGCTTGCTTATACCCATAACCCATATATGGCTGGTAAAGCCATCCTGTCTTCCACCAGTATAATGTTTCTTCCCTGAATGAGATCATTCATCTGTCACTTGCAGAGAAGCTTTTCCATAATTAAGGCAAGCAGTATCAGTCAAAAGCAGTTGAGTGTGCACAACCCCACTGCTACTGAGAGCTATAAACCAAAAGATGTCTGGCTGACCCAGGTCCTAGGAATGAAGGACTGAAGCTCTTCATTGCAGGCCACCTCTGGCAATAGGCTGTAATTCTTTTCCACAATTTTCCTTCACAACACTTGGCCTCCATTAACATTTCAGCTGAACAATTAGTGGATAACCAGACTTGAAAGTGCTAAGTTCCTCCTTACACATTATTGCAATGATTCAGGAGACAAAGTTATCAGATATCTTGTATCTTATAACACATTCATTATATGAAGAACAGCAGAGTGAGATGCTCTACTCAGTCTTTTTCATGTCTAGTTTCTGGTGTGTATGAGTTGTTTTTTCAGCTTTATATATAGCAGGTTAGCAACATAATTTAAAGAACTAACAAGTTATTTGCCTAAATGAATCAAACCAAGTAACATATTTATTTGATATAGGAATGTGTCTTATTTTGTGACATTACAAGAAAAAAAAAAACCACATACTACAGACAGCATTTTAGCAATGCGACATGTAAACAGTAATAAAATGGTGAGCTAGTAACATGTGAGAAGACATCACTCCCCTCCACAAAAAGAAGAAACCAAGTTAGTTGGGAACTCATTTCCAGATACAGGAATCACAAGATGTATTTACGATAAACCATATATAGTAACAAATTTTGAGAAAGGAAAACATCACAACCAAGGCAAAACAAAGTTACATCTTAAAAAGAAAATTACTACCTTTTTATGAAGTGCATGGAATTCACTATACCTCTTCTCCACAAAATGTTTCCTTCCGCTCATAAGGACCTCTATTTTAAAGACCTGAAAATTATAAGCAATAAAACAGAGATTAATGTTACTTGCACACACATGTTCAGTAAGAACTGGGTAACAGAAGTAGGTTAAGTATGAACAGAAGCAGGTTAAGCATGGAAAAGGAGAAATAAATGCAGATGATCTACTGTTGGTTTATTTGCTCCTAACATATTCATCTACAGCCTCAAAAGAGCTTGTGCTACCACCTACACCATAGGGGAAAAAAAACCAGAACAAACTCCCAAACAGGGCAAATGCTTGTTTTCTTTGTATGATACATGTGACAGCTTTTGTTGCTGCCTCCGGAAGGTTGAAAGGCCAGGAGAAGATCCTCTCTGGGTCCACTAATTAGTAGTCACTAACATGACATTTTCTTGATTCTCAGGTCACTGGGTCAGTTCTGAGGGCAAGTGATGTGAAATATTTTGAAGTGCTCAAGAAAACAACACGGTCTATTAAATAAAGGCAAAATCAGCAGAAAAGCAATACAGAAAAGGTGCCTGGTCTACTAGGACTTCTTCTCAGTTTTGCTCAGAAAATGATGGAAATAATTATTTACAGGCCAATTAGAGACAATGTTCAGGACACATGATTACATCAAGACTCAAAACTCTGGCCAAATAAAAAATTGTTTGAAATAAATTTGCAAGCAGTGTTTATGCCTGTTTCTGTCACAACATGCCCAGCTGGATAAACACTTTGTATTGTCCACTAGAACCTTTCAAACAGGTCAAAATCCTATGGTTTTCACTGGCTAGCCAAACCACATTAGAAACAGACAGCATTTTATTAAATCCAGCCTGAAATGCATCTACTTTTGTTTGAATGCAGTAAGGACAGGACTGATTTCACACCAGTGTTTACTTTACCAAAATTAGTTCAGATGCTTGTAATAATTTGTTCTACCTTCTACCTCTTTGAAAAGGATTACTTCTGTGCCCTAATCACTGTGACAGATGACCTTATTTGGGGGCACTGTTCCCCCTGCCTTTTTGTTAATCTATTTAGCCTATTTTGGGAGAATAGCTATTGGCTATTAAACAATTTTCCTCTACACATGAATAAACTCCAAGGGACCCTAAGGAATATGTCGTAAGTTCTGAGTTGTAAAGAGAATCACATGCAAAGAAAAATCAATGTAGACGTTTTTCTTCAGTTGAGACTTAATCCTAATTATATGAGAGGAAAACATGATTTACATCTTATATTCTACACGCCGTATAAAAAAAAAAAATAGTTCTGCAAGGAACAAAATGCTTTGGATTGCACATGAAAGCTACTGCGTTGAGGGGGTTTCAGGTTATCTTGTCGGGAAGAATGGATGACAGAATATAAAACCAGTTACATTAGAAGTGACAATGAGTCACTAGTTAAGGTGTTACAGCAATTCTGAATTAACTTGATATTAAATCTCCAGGAATTATGAGCAACTCGTAATTCTTACAACTAGGTCAGCTAAAAGCCACTACACCACTGTTGGTTTAGCACTTCTGTTGGCTACAGGGTTTGCCAAACAATCTGGGGAAGTGCAAGGGGCTCCTGCCTCAGCTATAAGCACTCCCTTGACAGGTAACTTTCTTGTGAATCATGGCTTGGCTTGCACAGTCCCATTTTGATTTTAGTCATATATGTGCAACTTCAGAGAAAAGTCTCTCTCTCTGAAGACTATAAACCTGACATTTTTTTGAAGAAGAATAGTTGGATATGGGGAAGAAATTAAATACAAATCTCTCTGTGGACCTTCTTTTCAAAGCACGTATCTGTTCTGTTCTGTGTTTCATCATTGATTAAGGACTTACAGAATTGGCTCTAGAACACTGAAAAAAATACGCAGCTTTTATTCATTCTCCTTTTTCATCTTAGAAAAGTTTTAATTACTGTTTTGTAATTTTTGCTAACAACATGACACTAAAGAATGTATTTGGCAGTCACTTTCACAGAAGACATGAGAAAAGAGAACCACAGTTGCTCACACATCACAGTAGCATAATTTCCAAAACCACAAATCTGGTATCTTTACACCCTCAAATGCCTGTGACAATAGAGAAGCTTTAAGTTTGCCTCCTACCATCCAAAGCTCTTGGATCCAGCTTTAGCAGCCATCTAAAATTTACAAAGCTAGACAACAGATCTGCTATGCCTGAAGTTGAAAATTACTGCCTGAAAACAAAACCCTGCAGATGGCACTTCTACTTACTGTGGCACCTATGTTTCAGAAATATAAGTGGACATTCTGTAAATATTTTCATTTAATGCAAATCTAAACATTGAATTGATTTATAAAGCAACTTAAAACCCAGAAATGCAAGTAAGTGAGATAACACATATTGTGTTTATGAACTTCGTATTATTACTTTATTCAGACAGCATAAATTCTAGGTTTTCCTCCTATTTACCAGATCAGAATTCACAAGACCAAACTAAAAGCACAGAAGTGAGTTTCTGTGTCACTATTTTATATAATATGGCTTTGTGTGAAAGATAGAAACATACATTAGTTTATGAGAGAGACAGGATCTCTTCATGGATTCAAAATAGCTATAGACAAATCTCACACAAATTTAACTGAGCAATTGCAGGCCTTGACAGAAAAACAATGTAAGGAAACTGGTGAACACAGATGAAAGTGCCAAAATAAAAACGGAAGAACTATGGGGGAAAAAACGCAACACTGCAAGGAAATTACTTTTCTTGTAAAAATGTTCATGTTCTATGAACAGATAACTCTGAAAAGACATATGACTTTTTATGAGTGACAGTTAGTTAAACGAAAAATGCAACAATTAATCACCGAATAAGACAGGTAAAATGCTTTTCCAATAGTCACTGAAATACCAGAAATTATACTACACTGAAAGATTTGCAGTTCATTCTGACTTGGATACAAGGGACCATAGATATAAAGGCACCAACTAAAAAACTCTTTATGAGTACTGTTAAAGCAGAAATGTCTCACCCTTCTTGGTTCCTGCCAGAACAGTTACTGAAGATATCTGCACAATGCCAGAAGATCATTATCCATTAAAAGCATTCTCCCAACAGAGTTTAACCCATGTAAATGAAGTATGGGACAAACACCTTTGGATATCAATATGAATAATGTTGACATTTTGCGTAGCGGAATTGCAGATCTGCCACTGTAATTCATAACCATCAAACCTGTGAAGGAAACTCTTCAAGAAGAATTCCTATGGTAAAAACTTTCAGGTCCAACTACAAAACAGATTTACATATGATTTTTAAAAAGTCCAGTATGAAACACCAATTTTTTTTGTGTTACTTCTTTGCTTCCACTTTGTTCCAATGATACAGATTCTGTTCAGATATTGGAAACTATTTTCTTCATTTGTTGTTGTTAGCAAGTATGCCTGATTTTACCATTTTTTCAAATTTATTGGCTTTTGATCATTAGCAAACCTCTTAACTTAATGATCCTTTTTCATTATTTACAAGAATACTTAATGTTTCTCGCTGCAGAAACCGGACAGTACAATGTAGTAACTACTTTGGATTACGTGTAGGCAAACAATTGGTACTCTATTACTTTGAATTTCCAAGACAAAAAGCACAAATGGAACAAAACAGGAACCAGTATGACATATTTATATGAATTTACATTTAAAAACTACCCATGCTTTCCTGTAAGCCCACCAATGTCTTAAGCGTACTTCAAGAATTCTCTGGTAAATAACACTGATACTGCCCTCCTTCAGTTCCTTAAATAACTCTGATACTGCCCTCCTTCAGCTCTTACCTATGTCAAATGCTTACACTAGATACAAAAGGATATCTCTTAACTGCTAATTTGATGTGAAAACAGGCAGCTTTAGTAACTTTGTCCCAAAAAGCCCAGAATGACTGGTTCAACAAAAAACAGACAAGAACGACAAACATGACCAGGAGTAGGGAGAAAACAAGAACAGTAACTTCTCAGTTTGGTTTTCTATTATATAAGAAATACACAGATCGCACTTTTATATTCACTCACGAAAATACATTAACTACACAGTTTACAATTATGGTAAATTAATACCATATTGTGTATATTTATACATGGAAAAATTAATTCCAAAATACATCAATTTCTGAAAAATCACAGTTGAGAAATGGGCAGCCTTTTTTAGAATGGGGAAAAACAAAAACCAGAAGCAGAAAAAGAGAAACTTACAAAAACCAGACCCACTAGCCTAACATTCATCAGGAAATAAAACCCCACAAAATTCTAGTACAGTGCTTTTCTCTCTCAAGACCAAGATTAATAACACTAGTTTTATTTAAAATATTACCCTCAGAAATAAATACATCCCTTTAGATGCTTCAGTATGGTTGACAGGCTTTTGTCTGAGGAACAGCTAATGCATTCAAAGTGTCAAGAAACTCACCCTTAAACCTTTGCCATGGCCATATGAAAGGAATTCCAGAGCAAATGAAATGACAGCTACAGTCCATGAAACACTAATCAGATTTCCATGTGTTCAGTGTTTCATTACTGTACAGACAATGGCACATTTTCTGTCTCAGTTGTTGTATAACTGGAACAAGACTACGGCATATAGTAGAGATCAAAATATGACTTTAAACCTATTCCCACCCAACTGATCCAGGGGAAAATATTATTCCACAGAATCGGTAAGAGAACTTGGGGGGTGGTGGTAACCAGAGCTGCATGTAGTTATAGCAGCAATTCGGTATATCAGGGGTGTGCCTCATAGAATCATAAGAATAGTTAGGGTTGGAAGGGACCTTAAGATCATCAAGTTCCAACCCCCCTGCCGTGGGCAGGGACACCGCACACTAAACCGTGCCAGCCAGGGTCTCGTCCAACCTGGCCGTGAACACTGCCAGGGATGGAGCATTCACAACCTCCCTGGGCAACCCATTCCAGTGCTTCAGCAGGATCACCTCTTTCAACCTGCTGGTCACACTCCTTTTGATGCATCCCAGGATATGGCTGGCTTTCTGGGCTGCAAGCGCACACTGAAGCCAGCTCATGTTCATTTTCTCAT